ACCAGGTGCCCTAAATACCATTAACCACACCCATGTGACAATCACCGGAAACAACCAATTAGCATTTGGGCTCCTACAAACTTCTATGCTTCTTCTCAATACAAATATTTGACCACACATTTCTCTTATGCAGAACTGTACTTTCATGCTTTCATATTTTCCAGGGCGTTTTTACAGACGAGGGGAAGTCTTCTGGCTGTCGGACCAGTGTTCCCAGCGATGCCGATGCCTTGACATTGACAACAAGGTGCAGTGCCAAGAGGCTCCATGTGGGCAGCTGGAGACCTGCGAGCTGCAAGAAGGCGCCTTCTACTGCCAGCCGACCCGCACGAGCACCTGTGTGGTCTTCGGAGACCCTCATTACCACACCTTCGACGGCTTCCTCTATCACTTCCAGGGAACCTGCTCCTACCTGCTGGCTCGGCCCTGCTGGGAGGTGACAGGGCTGCCTTTCTTCAGCGTGGAGGACCAAAAATGAGAACCGTGGACATCGGCCTCGGTTTCTTGGCTTAGAGATGTGACAGGTGGAGGTGTACGGACACAGAGTCATGTTACCCAAAGGCAGTGTTGGGGCAGTCCAGGTAAGAAACTTTAGACCCTTTTATACCCTTTTGTTATTGTTAATTTGTAATTTCAACATGTATATTTTCTACTTGTTTCTTTATTTCTAGTCTTTTACATTTATATTGTACAATGCCATGTCTTGTATGCTGCTTCAACACAAAACATTCCCAAATTGGGATCAATAAAGTATTCTTATCTTATCTTATACCAGGGTCTATCGCGGTGTTTGCCTTGTTGATTCCTTCTAGTTGGGTCCTGATGTAAGAGTGCTTATTCAGATTATCTGGCTGCATTCATACTTTGCTAGTCAAGTCCTTCTTTGACCACCTTGGAAGAGTAGTATTGGGCAGTTGCTCTTGGATGTATCTGGCAAAATGTCCAAGTACACTCTGAAGATCCGGGATACAAGTTTTGAAGGTTCTGTCATGATAAAAGGAGAGCAAGAAAGTAATGGTATTCTCGATTGGCATATATAAGTTTTTTTTCTGCCATCATGCTTTATTGTTCATCTTTCTCTTCTCTCCAGGTGGACGGCTTGATGAAGACTTTGCCTGTCCAACTCGAGCTTGGTGCTATCAAGGTATACCAGTCCGGGGTTGCCATTGCTTTAGAAACAGACTTTGGACTCTTGGTGACCTACGACGGCCAACACTATGCATCCATCTCCCTACCGAGCTCCTACTTCAACAACACTTGTGGCCTTTGTGGTAACTATAACGATGATCCGTCCGATGACCCCGTGCTTCCCGACGGCTCGCTAGCAGAAAGCGTGGTGGAGTTAGGAGGTAGTTGGCGAGCAGAAGACACGGACTGGAGGTGTACAGATGGATGTGCTCAGAACTGCAGTGTGTGTGATCCCGTTACAGAAGCCTTCTACTTTCGCCCAGACTACTGTGGACTCATTAACAAAACCGATGGACCTTTCAGGGACTGCCGAGCTGTAGTGGACCCTACCGCCTTTGTGTATAGCTGTGTGTATGACATGTGCAGCAACCGGGATAACATCACCACACTTTGCCAGGCAATCCAAGCCTATGCTCTGGCTTGTCAGGCTCTTGGAGTCACCATACGATCCTGGAGATCTCGTACCTTCTGTGGTGAGTTTCAGCTTTAACTAGAGAATGCAATACCTGAGGAAATTGCGGTGTGAAAGCTGTATGCACAAAAGCTATCGCTAAACTGCAATGTTGGCTTAGATGTGTAATACAAGGGCGAAGACTTACTGTATATGTAAAATGTCGATGAACTATGGTTCATATTTCTTATATCCGCAGTAATAGCACGCATGTCCTTATTGAGCTGCACATTTTGATGTTCGAACTGCGCTTCTTGGATAAAAAAAAGTGTGAGAAGAAGGCAATCAAAAAACGTGTCAGATTTGTTTACAGATGAAGAACATATGTACATATGGAGCATGTTCTTAGCATTCAAATCAGAATAGTTCTTCCAGATTTGTGATCTTTGTGTCATCTAACTTGATTTATTTTTCTCTCTCTGGGTCTTAGCTTTGACTTGTCCAGAAAACAGCAACTACCAAGTGTGCACAAGTGCCTGCCCGGCCTCCTGCTCGGACCTCACCTCCCCCCTGTATTGTGTCCACCCTTGCACCGAGGGCTGCCAGTGTGACCCAGGCCACATTCTCAGCGGGAGTCGTTGTGTACAGCGCGAAGACTGTGGCTGTGAGCATAACGGCCTCTATTACCCCCTCAATAACACTTTCTGGGTCGGTGCCAGCGGGGAAGAAGGTGAATGTACCCTTCATTGCACCTGCTTGCCAAATGGGGAAGTTTCCTGCTTCAACTCGTCCTGCAAGGAGGGTGAGGTGTGTGTGGCCGAGGTGGGCTTGCTGGGTTGTTACCCGCGGAGGGAGGGAGTGTGCTCAATCACCCAGAACTCAGTGACCACGTCCTTTGATGGCACCTTCCTGCTGTTCCCAGATGACAGCTCCTACTACCTGCTGAAGCTGTGCAGTCCGGTGCCAGCTAACGGCTCCATGGTGGAGGTGAAGATGGGCCGGCGGTTTGTGAACAAAGGCCCAACGTGGAAAAGACCTGTGGTAGTTACAGTGGCTAACCTGGAAGCTCAGATGGGAGGGTCCGATTTTGACATAGTAAAGGTTAGTATTTTATACACTGTGTGTTGGGGAAATCAAATATTTTCCTAGACCCATAACTTAGAGATCTTCAGAATTAGTTTGGCTTTGTCACCTTGTGGCGGCAGCACCCGTTTTGTCAGTTCTCCGGCCGTTAAGTCCAAATAAACCATCAGTGTTTTCCCTCAAAGTTCCAGCTCTCCCTGTGTCTCTCTGAGTTTCGTCTCCATTGCTTCAGAAGTTTCCATCACACTGTGAATCAGCTGTTTCTTACCTATGCCAACAAATACATCCTTTGTTTTATGGTCCAAAAGGGTTTGTAGTTTCAAAAGTTTACAACACAAAATTGCAAAAAAAGACATTTATCTACTTGCATTAGTAAGCAAATGAGACAGTAGTTGAACTACCAACAACCTTTTACAATACGAGGTTAAATTCCTAGTAAGATGACATTATGACACCTTTTTGTGTTGCAGGTGAATGGTGAACCAGTGACGCTCCCATATGTCCATCCGATGGAGACGATGATGATCTACAAAGCACCGGGCAACGCCACAGTGGTGGAGTCCCGTGGTCTGCTTCGTGTCCAGTACAATCGCCAGGGATTCCTCAACATCTCCCTGTCCACCATCTTCTACAACGCCACATGTGGACTATGTGGCGTCTTCAACAGCAACACCACCGACGACCTCCGCCTTCCCAACGGACGCCTGGCGGACTCTACTGAGCAGTTCACGGAAGGATGGCGCTCCATCGCCGATGATCTCACGTGTAACGGCGACTGCGACGATCTTTATCGAATGTGCACGGACTTGCGTCTCTACCAGAATCCGTGGATGTGTGGCAACATCAACGACCCGGGGAATAGTTCATTTCTGGCGTGTCACGCGGTGGTGAACCCCTCGCCATTCTTCAGGAACTGCCTGTATAACATGTGTGTGAAGGAAGGGAACCGTTCAGTGCTGTGTTCGTCCCTGCAGGCGTACGCCAGCGCCTGTCAGGACGCTCAAGTAGGCCTCGCGTCCTGGAGGAGTGTCACCAACTGCCGTGAGTTCACTTATCTTTATATATTTGGATTATCATCAATCAGTCCAAAACGGAGATAAAAAAAAACATTAAAATAATCCCTTCAACATTTGTTGTCTAAACATAAAACTAGCAAGAAAGCCTTTCTTCAACAATATCTGTACAGGTTTTATATTTATTAACAGATTAACAACTCAAATATACAAACATATAACATACGGACTTGGAGTTGGGTTGTAGGCCCATCCTTCTTGGCTAGCTCGTTTGCTTTCAGCTTCTTGTTTCTGTAGTAGATCCACAAAAATACCAGTATTTTCATATTGAACTTCCTCTACAGGTGCTCCTCCTTTGGAAGCCATAAAATATAAATGTCACCCCTTTTACTTTTTTCTTTAAAGGTTTACTCCAATAGAATTTAAGATACGTATACTTTATTAATCCCAAATCAGGAATTTTTTCAAGCCATCACTAGCCATTAGAGAACTATGTTCCGGAAGTAAACAAAGGAACACATGGTTTTTAGCCTTTGCAGACTATTTACATCCACACAAACCTATAAACCACACTACAGGAGAGGGGAAAACCCCAGAAAGCATAACAGGTTACCTTTAAAAAAACTCAAAGCCACCTTTTAATCGTACAATGATTTTCCTTCTCTCTTGTGTTTCAGCTCTTCCCTGTCCACCGAACAGCCATTTTGACGAGTGCACCAGCGCCTGCCCTTTGACCTGTGACAACCTCGACGACCCCGAGGAGCCGTGCCCTCTGCCCTGTCAGGAGGGCTGTCAGTGTGAGGAAGGATTTGCTCTTCGAGACGGCCTTTGCGTGGCGCGCAGTGATTGCGGCTGCATGAGCCACGGCCGAACGCTCGCCACGAATCTGACCTTCTGGACGGACTGGGAATGTCAGGAACGCTGCTACTGCAACGGCTCTGACAACAGCGTTTACTGTCAGCTCGCTCCCTGCAACCCCGAGGAATACTGCCAGGAAGACGACGGCCTGTACTTCTGTTTTCCCCGCACCGAAGCCCTGTGCGTGGCGGCGGGTTACGGACACTTCCTGCCGTTTGGTAGCGTCCCGTTTGACCTGCAGAGCTCTTGTACACTCAAGATGGCTACCACGGTGTGCGGGGGAGAAAACACGGGTCAGGAAACCATCGGTGGGGCTTTTCCTCAGTTCAAACTGGCAGCTCGTAACGAGGAAAGAGACACAGGCCAGGCAATCTGGGTGAGGGGTTTTGTACTGGAGGTCTACGAGTATGAGATTGAAGTGTCTCGGAGCTACAAAAACACTGTCACGGTGAGTAACTGTTGTGGAAAATGTATCATGATATGAATACTTATCTTAAAGCCACTTTTCAAAACGTGCATGGCTAGTTTCCAATAGAGATAAGTGAGAGGACATTTGTATTTTCCCAATCGGGTGAAACACTAATCTATTTGTCCTTGTGGCCAAACGGTGGTACTACAACTTCAATTTCAGTCTGCGACATCATTTGGCCCACAAATACTTTCCCTATTGACTTACATTGTGAAAGTATGAAAGACGATTATTGCCACATGTGAACAAATAAATGTTTTTTTTTCTCAGAATTGAAAAAACTTACATTTCAGAATCTCAAAAATAAAAAATGTTTAAAAGACTGGAGGTCTACGAGAATAAGATTGAAGTGTCTCAAAGCTCACGTGAGTTAATTAATATTTTGGTTACTGTATCATGATATAGATAGTTATGTTAAAGCCACTTTCAAACATGGTCCCATGAAGGTCATTGTGGTTTTATTTGTGGACATTTGAGGACATTTTATTTCAAATCAAGCCGATTGAATAACCGGGCAGAGGGCGAATTCCTCTTTGATTGGCTTAAGGTGGATCTAATTTCAATAGGCATCTTTTATCAGGCTGGATTTGGCTCAGAACCCCCGACCCTGAGCGACATTTGGACCGGGTTCACAAACCGACTCAAAGATCTGAGGAGGAATAGAAATGACACAATGCTCACACACACACACACACACACACACACACACACACACACACACACACACACACACACACACACACACACACACACACACTCTATCTTTTCATTCTCTCATAGAATTAGATTATATGAGAAACACTCTTTCAGTGAGTCTTAATCACATCCGTTCAACACCCCGGGATTTCCCCTCATACTTGTTGCTCAGATGTGCGAAACCGGCTTTCCGAAGGAGAGTGTGCTAATCCTCCAACAATAACTCGTTTTATTGAATCTCTCTTAGCCCCTGTTTAACGTTGCAATAAACCTGCAATGTGCAATATAAACACTTTGCACAATTGTAGTGTGCAATAGCGTAAAAACATACATTTTTATAAAGGTCTCAATACTTAAATATGTTATTTATGTCACTTAGTAGTTTTAAATTGCTGCTACTCATCATTAAGCAATATTTTTTCACTAATGTGTCGTTTTCTTTTGGATTATTGCTTGCCTTTTTTACCTGCAATGCCACTATTGCTGTGACACTGTAAGTTCTCCCGCTGTGAGAATCATAAAGGAATTCTGATTCTCCTTGTGGAGGAAATGCTTAAGAGAAACTGATAAATGATTCATGGACAAAGTTTGTCTTTTTGTATATTTAATAAAGTAATAAAAAAGAAGTCAATATACAATTGAAATCGATGTCAAATGCAGGAACAGAGAAGCTTCATCCTCAGAGGATAGAGAAGTTCTGCTTACAGTCTCTCTATATATTCACTAAGGAAACAACTAGTCCTCCATCCCATCATTAAACCATAAAACCTCCCAGTCCTTAACCGTTTGCAAATCCACCTTTTACACTTTTCAAGATTCAAGGTGCACATAGCTACAGTATAGATATGTCACAGGCTCCTCCAACAGTGCAACACAATCAAGCAGATAAAATAGTTAAAGGTGACCTATCATGCAAAATGCACTTTTGTACGTCTTTTATACATGAATATGTGTCCCCGGTGTTCCAGGGAACTCACCAAGTGTCAGAAAACACAACCCTCTCTATTTCCCTCCATACCCAAATCTCTTAAAAAGGGGCTGCAACGGATCTGATACAGACTGATCCAGATTTGAACACTTCTATGACGTCACAGAAGTGGCGCTACGGCTATTGGGCCAACTCAGCCACATTGCCGTTGGAAAGCGCTGGAGACGCTGTAGTACATATGCCAGGCCTGTAGATGGTGCTGTTCTCACAGAATCAGCCCATGATGCAAAGACAGTGTTAAATTGAGCGAAATGAGGAATGGCTAAAATGCATGATCTGTTTGGTATTTTGAAAAATAAAAAGTATAAATATGCCTTATATAGGTATGGTCCTACACTATATTATTCAAATATAGCATGATAGGTCCACTTTAAGATAGAAAACTAGAATATAAATAGTGCAAGGAGAGTCTATATACAAGTAGTTGGAATATGATATATTAGTTAAATAATTAGCAAACAGATGAATGTTATGGATGTTCTTTCAAAAGTTCAGGTGTTTAACTTCCTTTTGCCCTCCTGAAATGTAACTCCTCAACATGTGTCTCTGTTAAACACAGACCAGACAAGAAATACAATTTCACAGAGTAAAAGGCAATCAGAGTATAAGACTATATGTTTTAAATGATTATTTATCATCTCAAAACATTGTCTTGCACTATTTTATCTGTTTCATTTCTTCTATGTCTAACATGTAGTTCTATTTCTTCTATGTCCTATATACAGTATGTTGCACTGTTGGAGGAGCCTGTGACTTCAGTTTCTCATTGTTTGACAATAAAGAATCTTGAACTGTAAGTAAGGACTTCTGATTCTCCTCTCTCAGGTGAATAAGGAGCGTCTGTACCTGCCTCTGAAGCTCGGCCCGGGGAGGATCCACATCTTCTCGTGGGGCATGCAGCTCATTCTGGAGACAGATTTCGGCCTGAAGGTGGCGTTTGACTGGAACACGTTGCTGCTGCTGACGTTACCCCGCGACCTCTTCAACTCCTCCTGTGGCCTCTGCCAGGGAATGCCCTTATTCCCCCCCACCCTCACCACCACCGACTGGGGCATGGCGTGGGCCGAGAGAGACACCTTCTGCCAGGTGAGCAGGACCTGTCAACTCACACTTGTTATTTCTTGTCATTGTAAAAGTTATTATGGCCTGAAAGTCGAAGGCGAAGACCTATTGTAATCCTTGGAATTTCTTTTTATTATAATTTTTTTCTACCAAATGAATTTTTGAGGGCCTTAGAACGCTTAAAAGACGGAGGATTTTTTTTGAACACTTGTCGGGTCAGGTGTAAATATATTTATATTGGGGGTTTCATAAGTGGCGCACACAAAATGGCTCTATAGCGCCCCCTAACAAGCAGCGTCTGGTTGTGCTTTCACCTACAAATCTGAAACTCGTTAGATATATGTAGCATGATGGGAAGCACAAAAAAGTCAGCGCGAGGTATATCGTAAACCCAACAGGAAGTCTGCCATCATTTTTTGAATCCTCAACTTTTGCCCTTTTCAGTGCCCGCGCCAAATCCATGAACTCATACAGTTTTAATCCGATTGACTCGTAGTTTGGTGAAACAAACCGTATCAATTCGTTTTTGCCGATATCGATATGTTCTTGCCGTAGAGTGGCGCTGAATAAACATCTCGCGCCAAGAAAACAATGATAGGTAATCTACGTAAGAGAAATGAAGACACAAGAAATAAACAGTCCAAAATATTTCTGAAATAGAAAATAGCATTAAAAGTAAAAGAGAAAAATATATATATATATACGTGGATGTGGAAATACAACTTTCCAGTAACAAATATAATGCAGTGAATGAACCATGAATCCAATATCACGGATGAAGATGACCTAATCTTTTCTTTTCAAGAAAAATGTACGCTAGAGGGGGACCAGGAAAGTTTTGAAGCTTCTTCTGTTGTACATGACAGAGACTATTTGAGAATGTATTACTTTGTTTGTACCTTGAACGTTTTTATTTGTTTTGCTTCTCTTTGTTTTAATTATTATTATAAAAAAAATATATAATTATTATTATTATTGTTGTATGTTTTGTTTCTGATGTGTTCACTAATAAAAACATTAAAAAAGGTGGGCTGCGGGGACTCGTGCCCTCGATGTGGCCTCGGAGAAACCAGCTCGCTGAACGACGCTCCTCTCATGGTGGCGGACGCAAACTTGGATGCTGAAAACGCGGCGAATGAAGTGGAAACTGGCATTCGTTTCCACATGGGAGACGGGCTGTATGTGTACGTGGAGCCAGAGGCTGTGAGGTTATGCGGGCTGATTGTGGATCGAGGAGGTGTGTTTGCACGATGCCACAGCAAGGTGGCGCCGGCGTTCTTCTATCAGAGCTGCCTGCAGGACACCTGTCTGGACCAGGGGTCGCAGGAGACGGTGTGCAACTGGCTCGGGATGTACGCCACCACGTGTCTAACACAAGGGGTTCCTGTGAGCGGCTGGAGGAGCGACACCCCCTGTGGTGAGTCTGGGAACTGCAGCTAAGTCTCATCTTTGCAGTGTGCAAAAAAAATTATAATAATAAAGCTTTATTTTTATATTTTTTTCTGAGAATATTTGTAATGATTTCTATTTTTTCCCCCCCTGAAAATCTGAATTCTGACCAAAAAAGAATTCTAAAATGTTTTTCTTCTCAATGTGCTTTCTTTTGGAATATTTTTTAGTCTCCAAGAATTGTTTTCTGATTTTTTGGGGAAAATAAGAGTTCTGAAAGAAAAGTGTTTATCTGACTTCTTTTAGAACTCCCAAAAGAGTTAACCTTTGATAAGACGTTATGTAGTTGAGTGTGAAAAGAGTCCAGCATCTCTCACTCAACTCTTACACCGTTATGAGAGCTCCATCCATCGGGCTTTTAGACATTTGACTTATCGGACCACACTTATTGTATTCAGTGTAATCGTTTGCTAACGTCTTTCCTCCCTGTGTGGTCCCAGTTCAGAGCTGTCCCCCGAACAGCCATTACTCCAGCTGTGTGTCGGTGTGCCCGCCGCAGTGCGCCCCCGCCCGCGGGCAGAGGGACTGCAGTCAGGAGTGTGTGGAGGGATGTCAGTGCGACCCGGGATACGTTCGAAACGGAAAGAGCTGCATCCTGCCGCAGAACTGTGGCTGCTACACTGATGGCAAGTACTATGAGGTCAGTCTCACATCCAGCACCACATGGAAGAAACTAAATCAGACTGGTGTTACAACGTTGCAATCAAATTATCTTACTCTGGAAAACTGGGAGATCAAGTTTAAAGTTAAACCTCTATTAGTGCCATTTACTAGAGGTGAAGTTTTATTTATTTTTGTATATATGAATAACATTGTATTTGTACTGTACTGACTTTTAGCTGCAAAGATGCAGAGTTAACTCAAAACAATGTCAACGGAAAACTGTTTACAATCATTTCAGGTTATGTTTCTATCCGGCTGACAAATTTAAGAACACTTTAACCTAAAATCTATTGTTGGAAGTTCGGGATTTTTATGTTTTGTAAAGTATTCATGACTCAAAACAGTTTTGAATTAGTTTTTAAAAACTCTCTGGCAAGTGTCATTTAATACCAGGAAAGTATAGGAATAGTGTGGATGACCAAAAACAAATTTGTATTCATTTTCTAACTTAACTTTTACCCTCATTTGAGCTCTGTTTTGGTCACAGAATATATCTCGGAGAAAAAAAAGGACTTAATATTAAATCTCGGTTTTAACAGAAATCTTTCTTTATTTCAGCCCAAACAGCTGTTTTGGAACACTGACTGTACCAAACGCTGCCAGTGCATCGGACGAAACCTGATCCAGTGCGACCCGCGGCGTTGTAAAGCTGAAGAAGAGTGTGCGCTACGTTACGGGGTTCGTGGATGTTTCGCTCGACGTTCCCAACACTGCGTTGCCTCGGGCGGGGGGGTTTTCAGGACCTTCGACGGTGCTTCGCTCCGCCTCCCGGCCTCCTGCTCCTTCGTCCTTTCCACAAACTGTCACAAGCTGCCCGACCTCTCCTTCCAACTCATCGCCAACTTTGATAAGTGGAGCACGCCCAACCTCACCACCATCTCCCACGTCTACCTCTACCTCAACGAGGAGAATATCCTCATCTCTGGGAGCACGGTCAAGGTGAGAGGGGATCGAGTACATATTAGTCTCGAGTACATACTGTTTTAGTCTCCAATATTTGTTGGATCAGTCAGTTATTAAGCCCCTATTTCACCCATGTAACACCAATATTAACTCCATATCAGACCATAATTAGACTGTTATTAAAATAATAATAATACATAATATTTATATAGCGCCTTTCACGAAACCCAAGGTCGCTTTACAAGTCGGGTAGGGGGGAGGTAGGGGAAAAGAGGCAGACAGGTTAAGTGGGGGGGGGGCAAGCAAGTAGCGGAAAAATAAACCTATCAAACTAACTATATACTATACTATATATATTAAGCAGTTATTAGGCCCATATTACAGTGTTATAAGACCCATATTACACCCATGTAACACCAATATTACCCCCTATTACACCGTAACTACACTGCTATTACACCCATTTTACATATGGACACGGCCTGCCAAATAAATGTAACCCAGGATACAGACAAAATGTTAGGGTAAAATATTTCTAACAAATGTTCCTGTTTCTCCGCAGGTGAACGGTACCCCAATTTCAGTCCCGTTTCTCACCGGGCTGATGACGCGTCTGTCCACGTCCGAAGGTTTCCTCGTCATCGACACGCCGCAGGACATCCAGATCCGATACAACCGCTTCAACACGCTGAGCATCACGATGGGCCAGCGGCTGCAGAACAAGGTGTGCGGACTCTGTGGAAACTTCAACGGAGACCCCGGTGACGACTACATCACGTCCAGGGGGAAAACGGCCGTCAGCGCGCTGGAGCTCGCCCAGAGCTGGAAGACCAACGGTATGCAGAACAGGTGGGTGAGGCGCTCAGGAAATACTGGAAAATACTGTACTAGGGATGAGAGCAAACAGGGAAGAAACACTTGCAATGAGTCGCTTGCAGTGATTATATATTATTGGGATAATCGAGAATATATCAATGTAAGAAAAGATCAACTAGTTTTAATGCCAGAGCAGCAAAAGAAAAACACAGGATAGGACAGGTAAGTGAATGATAATGAGAATACATATAAGAGTAAGAATGTAAGCCCCAGTATATTATATAAACCAAAAAACATATCCAGAAAAAAGAGGTATGAAAAACCTGTCCAGCATCTATCATGGTAGAGAAGTGAAATATTAAAATAAATATATAAAATTAGAGCCCCTTTTTTAATGTAGGAATTATCTTTTCCAACAAAGAAAAATACCTACTCAATGTTGACATTTTTTAAAAGAAAAAGAAAATACAGTATACAAAAAATATTACGGGGGACATAATGGGCTTTTTTTATTTTACTTAAAAAGGATGTACATTTAGGAAGAGGATGTATGCACGTATTTGTTGCATAAGAAAACATAAGATGATTCAGTACGTTTAAGTGCCAATAAAAGAGTTTAGAGCGAGAAGGAATCAGAAAGCCCTTTTTGTTTACTATTGAACCCTTTTAAAAATGGTTATAGGTTATAGATTTGTCTTTTGATAAACTGTTATTATTGTTGTTTCTAGCATTGCTCATCTCCCATTGTGTCATTGACAGTCTACATTTAATGTTTCTGTTTTTGAACCAGTGGTAGTACGAACCGAAGCTGATTTAGAAACATTTAAACCATAACGTTGATGTTTCTCCTCCTCCTGCAGTTGTGATGAGACCCAGTTCGTGGCTCTGGCTCAGTCCTGCGACAACACGGCGGTTCTGGCTCTGCAGAGCGAGGACGCCTGCCAGAAGCTGACCCAGCCGAAGGGATTCTTCCAGCCGTGCCACGGGCTTCTGGACCCGAGGCCCTTCTACCAGTCCTGCTACCTGGACGGCTGCTACAACCACCAGAAGGCCCAGGTGTGCGGCTCGCTGGCTGCCTACGCTGAGGCCTGCCGCTCCATGGGGACCCTCACCACCAAGTGGATCACCCAGGAGAACTGCTGTAAGGGCACCAGCCTCCTGGAGCACACACACACACACACATACACACACACATACACACATACACACATACACACAAACACACATACACACAAACACATGACACACATACATGTTTTCAGGATATATCAGGACTTGTAAAAAGATGTGACGAATGGGGACACGTGTTCCCCAACACCCTAGAGACTTGGGAATCAAAATAAATACTGTCCATGCCTCTAGGAAGACTTGCATATCTGGGGGTTTTCTCTAAGGCTGTAGACCTGCTTTAAATGCGACTTGTGAGGACACACGCACACAAATACAACGACACACACAACTATGTATATCTTGGACCTTAAGAGGACACTGACTTCCATAATAATGGTGGGTAGTATTTTGTTCGTCTCTTTGAGTCCCCTTAGTGAATGCATGCTAACTGGAGCTATCAGTGTGTGTGACAGCTAACACCGTGTGTGACAGCTAAAAGCGTGTGTGACAGCTAACAGCGTGTGTGACAGCTAACACCGTGTGTGACAGCTAACAGTGTGTGTGACAGCTAACATTGTGTGTGACAGCTAACATTGTGTGTGACAGCTAGCAGCGTGTGTGACAGCTAACAGCGTGTGTAATAGCTAGAATTGCGTGTGACAGCTAGCAGTGTGTGTGACAGCTAACATTGTGTGTGACAGCTAGCAGTATGTGTGACAGCTAGCAGTATGTGTGACAGCTAACAGCGTGTGTGACAGCTAACAGTATGTGTGACAGCTAGCAGCGTGTGTGACAGCTAGCAGTGTGTGTGACAGCTAACAGCGTGTGTGACAGCTAACAGCGTGTGTGACAGCTAACAGTGTGTGTGACAGCTAACATTGTGTGTGACAGCTAGCAGTATGTGTGACAGCTAGCAGTGTGTGTGACAGCTAACAGTGTGTGTGACAGCTAACAGTGTGTGTGACAGCTAGCATTGTGTGTGACAGCTAACAGCGTGTGTGACAGCTAACAGCGTGTGTGACAGCTCACAGTGTGTGTGACAGCTAACATTGTGTGTGGACCTGTCTTTAGCAGAATGGATCTACGACCCCTGTGCAGGAGAGATCTGCACAAACTTCACCTGCGAGCTGGAGAACGGAGGAGACCTGTGCGGCTGTCCGGAGTTACCCACAAGCACCGGCGGTGAGCAACGAAACCGGCAAATCATCCATCGCTTTCTCTAACTTTGTCCTGTTAGCCACACGTAAGGGGTTAATGTGCAGCGAGCCTGTCATTAAAGAAGAAAGAAAATCTCTACTGGGATAATTTTTGCATTTTATCCCAATATGTTACGTGTTTTACTTTAATTGTAAAGGTCACCTATGATGCAAGATGCCCTTTATGATGTCTTTCATACATCAATATGTGTCCCCGGTGTGTCAGGAGACTCACGAAGTGTCAGAAAATACAACCCTCTCTCTTTTCCTTCGTACCCACATCTCTAAAAACAGGGGAACAACGGAGCTGATCCAGATTTGCTGCGTCATGACGACATGACTAATATTTGGGCAGGCTTTACACCCACGGGCCAATCA